GTGGCGTGGCGGACGGCTCGGACGAGGGGAAGACGGTGCTCAGGGTGCCGATGGTGGTAAGGTGCATGATGCGCCGGCCTTGCACGGCCGACTCGTGGACTGTCGGTATCCGGAGCGGCGCGGTGTCGCCGCCGATGGTATTGGCATCGAGTGGGCTGAAGATCGACTGAGGTGTTAGGGATGTGCTTAAGGTGCATGATGCCACGAGAGCGACGAGAAACAATACGGAGCGCACTGAGAGCGTCATATCTGAATATCTTGGGCACCAGCAGCGGCCGGTAAGATGACACTCTAGAACGGCAGCGACAGCCTTCAGCGATCCTTGAGTAGTGTCGGATGAAGTCGAATGAGCAGGCCCTCTGCTTTCGGTAATTGCCTCGGGTCATGTCTGAGCCGACTCGGTTGACTCGAATTCAGAGTTCCACCTCTGGCCGGGCTGCCTCGAGGCAGCCTCAGCTATTGTTGAAATATTCCAAGCAAACGGAAGACGAGCGCGTTTGCCCCAGGCGGTCGGTTGCCCGAAGGGCAATCGCGTACAGTACATCGAGTAGATACAACGAATATATATGAATTTCTTATCACCTTATCAGTTGGGCCCGCCTGCGGCGGTCCCCCCCTGACCACGCGCACACGGCGCGAGCTCGCAAGCTCGATCCCGACTCCCGAAATCCAACAGCTATAGCTACAGGTTATCCTTCGACATTGGTACTCCGAGGTAGGTAAGAGATATCAATCATCAAAATAACCACCTCCCGAGAGACCTTTTTACTACAGACGCGACAGCCATGTCGATACCGAGAAACTCCGCTAATACTTGAGCATCGTCGAAGATCTCCCCCAAGCCAGTGACTCTGGCAGGCCTCCAAACCCTATATAAACGTCTAACTTTACTGTTTACTATGCGGTCCCAGACGCTGATCTCCAGGTATTTCAGCGACGTTGGCCCGGTCGAGAGAACGTTCTGAACGCATGTCGTGACATCTCGCAGCAATTCCGTGGTAGAGACCGTATTTTCCTCACGCCCGAGCCACGTATCTGACCACGGTTTCGATCGACAGCTTGAGACGGCGAGTGACAGATACGACAGGCGTGTTGCTTGGAGCGACTCGCAGAACCTAGCCTGAAAACCATTCAGCGCTGCAAGTGAAGTGTCGCCTCGAAATGCTCACCAAAAATTCTATGAGCCGGGTGCAACACGGCCCCTCGTATATGGTCAGTTCCACGTATTCCAGCATCGGTGAAATCTCCCAGAGAGAGGCCTTGCAGAGCTCCCGCTGCAGCTCATCGCTACCCGGCTTACACGCATCCAACATGCCAAGAGTCAAGCAGCGAGGTCGCGCTTGTGTCAGCGCCGCAGTGAGATATGGAGCAGTATGTGGAGGAGTGCCCGCTCCGACCGACGCTGGCTTGTCAAAGTCCAGTGCCAATTCAGAGAGCTGACACATGAGGCCGAGCGAGACCCAAGTAACTGCCGTTCCCGCAAACGAGTGCAGCGACCGCCATTCCATCTCGTCTCGTGAGGAATTCACTTGGCGTACAGCACGGTATGGGATCTCAAGACGCCGAAGGTTCGGGAACACCACCGGCAAGTTCTGCGATGTGAATATGGGCGAGTCGGGGACTGAAATACTGTGGATACGGAGGTGGGACATACGGGGCCACGGGTTACACGATTCCATCGGTGGAATAGAATGATTTGATATATTTGTCAAAAGCAAGGTCTCCAGCGTATCCCGACATGGCTCCAAGAGACCCCATATGCCCAACCACTCCTCTTCGACAATCTCCAGAGAGAGCCACCTTAACGGAGCCCGACGCTCCAACTGCAAAACATGGCCTGATAACTGAATAACACTTCTCCCCGTCAAAAGCAGGACCTCTGCACGCGCGAAACTCGTGGCGAGTGCGTTCGTCAGGATGGGATAGAGTTGGAGGTGAGTTATTTCGGAGACCCCTAGCGACTTGAGATTCACCGCAGATTGGAGAAGCGGAGCTAGCAAGGTTTCTAAGACTTCCGAGCCGCTCAATGCTTCTCGGGCCTCTAGTCCTTCTAACCCGCCTAATTCCCCCAGGTCATCCACCTCGACATGACAAGCAGTCAGGTCCAGTCGGAGTGACTGAAGCAACGACAACCGCGGATTACTAGCCAGCATGAACCGGCAGAAAGAAGCAAGTTTGGGGAGGGGGGAGTCGCATTTCCAGAGGGAATCGGCTTGACGAACCATCTGATTTCTACATACCTCCAGCAAGGAGGACGTGGTGACCGAAAGGCGCGCAAGATCCTGCGTGTCTAGATATACGAGGATAGTGATCAGGACATCGTAGCTGCGGTCGATTAGGTCCAGTAAGTGCATTCTACCTGCAATGGTGCGCGAAGAATTTGTTAGACGCCGTGTCGATTTATCAGAGTCACGGGCATAAACTGACAGTAATTGGCACTGGCAGCTGTGGCGATATGAAGTAAAGACACTCGAATGGGGTGATTAGTGCTGACGATCACTTGCAAAAATGTTGCCGCTCTTCTTCTTCAAAGCACTCAGGCTGGCCGCTGTCGAACCTGGAAGCACGAGAGCGTTTGTAGGATCCAAGTTGATTGCAGGAGCACCGAGTGCTTTAAACAGTGATACAGTCCAGCAAATGAACGCGTGTCGTCCGTCCTTCAGATGGTGACGGTGATTTACTGCTTCGGTTTCGGTCAGCTCGGGCTGCGGGGCGGCGAACCTGGGAAACAGGGGTTCAGCTGACAGCTTCTCTCGCGGGCAAGGGCTGCCGAAGCGTTATCGCGGTGCGAGGAGGAAGGTCAGTAGCGCTGGTGCGGTACGCTGTATCATGGGTTATCGATGTCTGTTCTCACTGTAGATGCATCGACATGCCAAGGGAGAGGTTAGGAAAACATAGGCATCCGGCCATAGGGTGGCTTAATGAGAGCAATCGGGAACATACTAGTATAGAGCGTATACGTAGAGAAATCCTACCTCAAAGTGCGACACTGCCTGCCACCCGTGCTGCCATCTTCAGTACCCCGCGGATCCTTCCACGTCAGCGAGCATGAAATGTGCCTCGCCATGATTCAACTATCTCCGTTGGTGCAATAGGAATTTATATATGTTGTAGAGCAGGATGGGGAGAACGCGCTACTCAAATAATCCGTACCCCAAGAGACCTTTTCACGACGGACGCCACCGTTGAGTCGAGACTAATGAACTCTACACCCACTCGAGAAGCGCCGACGGCTGTCGGCAGCTTACCCCTCCTTTGTGTATAAGTTGAGCTTGAGTACTATTCCATACCCATTATTGTATCATAGCATATTGAGATCAACATTAACACCTCGAGTCATAGTCAGTTCGCATGCTGTTAATCGGGCTGGGTGAGTTTCCAGGTCCGGGAGGTCCAGTGGAACTCTACAATGGGCAGTTCGAAAGACATTCCATGTGTACATTTATCTGGATTGCATGGGTTTATTCAATCATTGCATGCAAATGAAATTTGCACTTATAAGTGGTCACAAAACAACATAAACATGGAGGTGAGTTTGAATTCCATACATTCCATTCCGAGTGGACTGCACACATCTTATTGAAGCAACTGTGTACTGTGCCAATGAGTATTTCAGGTCTGACGGATTCAAGAGCTGATTTGAGAACAAGTCCTCATTCAGTAGTGGCGCCACTAAAGCCAAACATGACACGCCGGGATGTGCCGGTCGGTCGAAAAGTGGTCCGCATATTGGGGGTGCTAGAACCCCTCCCAAAGGAGGGGCATGCCTCCCGTCGTTTCTCTCATATCGCACGTATGCCTGCGGAGTCTGTATAGGTAGCGGTAGGTTTGGTTTTCGAGGCGGTCCCAGACTACTATCTCCATGTAGTTCAGCGTCGATGGGCGACCATTGGAAAAGCAGCGCCGAACACATTTCGTGACATCCCGCAGGAGCTTGATGGGCGAAATCACTCTTCGATTACTGTCCGTCCCGTAGGGTGCAGATTCCGCATTACGACAGGTCGACACGCGGAGTGAGAAGTATGAGAGTCGGGCGGCTTGTATTGATTCGCAGAATCGATCCTACGTGCCTCTCAGTGAGACCAAGAGCTGTCGGTCGGATCACTCACCAAAAATTCCAGCAGCCTGTTGCAGCAAGGACCTTCAGTTATGGCCAAGTAAGCGTATTCCAAGTACAGCGCATTGTCCCAGAGCAACGGGTTGCACAGCTCATCCTCCAGGTCTTCATCGAATGGAGTACACACGTCAAATACCTCAATGCTGAAACATCGAGGTTCCGCGAGTCGCAGTGCAGTAGCAAAATGGCGGGCAGTATTGGGATACCTCGGTGCGTTGAGAGACCATTGATCAGAGTCCAGTCTCAACTCGGTCAGCTGGCAATGGAAACCAAGTGACGCGAATGTGATGGCGTGCCCGCTAAACGAGGACAATGACCTCCATTCGACCTCGTCTTCATCTTCCCCTTCAACTTCTCCCACGGGTTCTCCTTCAATTTCTCCCTCGGGTTCGCCTTCGCCTTCGCTTTCGTGCGCCTCGGCGACACTGGTCGCAGCTCCAGGTGGAATTCGAAGGTGTCGAAGGTTTGGGAAAGGCTTTCGCAATGTTCGCGATGTCATCATCTTCGCGACAGGCAGCAGGGAGCTTAAAATATCCAGTTCGGACATAAGTGGCCATGGATTGCATGATTCCAGGGGTGGAACAGGGAAGTCATGTTCGACATCGAAGGCCAGATATTCAAGGGTATTCCGGCAAGGCTCCAAGAGACGCCAAATGTCGATCCAATTCTCATCCGGCATCAAGCTCAGAAACAGTCGAGACAGCGAAATCGTCCTATGTGCCGACTGTAATGCATGACCCAGCAGTTCGATAAGACTCCTCCCTGTCAAGTTCACCGTCCGGGTACGAACGAAGCTGGCCACGAGTGCATTCCTCAGGACAGGAAAAGATTCCAGGTCTCGTATACCCGAAAGGCCAAGCCTGGTGAGATTGACGGCAGATTCGAGAAGTGGGGCAAAAAGCTCCTCTAGGAATTCCCGGCCGCTCTGCTCTCCTGGCCCGTGTAGTCCTAGTAGTGTGTCCAATTCCCCAAGATCATCAAGCTCGACATTACAAGCGCTCAAATTCATAAAGAGTGATTCCAGTAACAGCAACCGAGCCGGGCTGCATAGCATGTATCGACAGAAGGACGCGTACGTCGAGAGGGGGGAGGTTAACCTGCCAGGAAACTCAACGTGACGGACCATCCGGTTCCTACATACGTCGAGCAAGGGTGATGTAGTGACCGATAAGCGTGCAAGGTCTCGCCTGTCGAGGTAGGAGAGTATGGCAAGCAAGACATCATAACTATGATTGGTTAAATCAAGTAACCGCATCGTAATTGCAACTGTTGTGGTTGGCTTGTCAGTAGCAATCGTCATTGAATGAAGAATGAAGAAAACGTCACTTACTGGCTGTGATCCGCGAAGATTGCAGGATAAAGCAAGACAGGCTGGTGTGCTCAAGGCCTGAATATCAGGCCGGGTGTCCACAAATTGAGGTTATCTCTATGTGATAACGTACCTTCCTGGTGTATCTTCAGGAAAAGGCTTGGATATAAAAGTTCCCAGACTAGAGTGCGTGATAAAAGGAGGATGGAATGAACGGTGAAGGCTATAAACACCCATTCATTCGGTCAGCTCGGGCAGAAGGACGGCGCCCATGATTACGCTAACGCGTGTGGGTCCAGCTGACAGCCTTTCCGGCGTCGAGTGGTATCGGGGTTTTATTAAGCTATCATGGAGCAGCTGGACACGTCAATAGCCAAGCATGGTGTTATTAGTAGGTGACAAAGACAGGGAGGCTGGGTGGGCATTCGATTCAACACATCCTGCCATGAATGAACCATTGACATGATCCGGATGGCAGGGGATAGTTAGTTGATCCCTAAGCCGGGAAGCTCCCTCTGACGCATTCGTTTGAGATGCAGAACAAAGGAGCGTAAAGATCTGTAAGAGTGTGAGCATCTGCAGCAGCATTCCCGGAGTTCGACGATGCTTGTTGCCACTGTTCGTAACTGGAACCAAACATGGCACGCGCAGCCGCCAGCGAAGCAGCGGTCCGCTAGTACGTGTGGGAACCAGTAATTATAAGATGGAAGGCATGAGGACCGACTAGGCTTGATACTGCACCTCCTAAATAAGACTTAGTAGACGAGCAACTGTCTTAAATGGAGGCTTGTTCATTTTTGGTATCGACGTCGCAGAAGTAGTTGGACTTACTTCGCCCTCCGATCAACACAACCAAACAACACCTAATGCGGTAGGTAAGTCAGGTGACCTCCCGCGCCGCCGGCGCCGCCTGAGGGCTTTCCCGCGTATAGCAGTCCTAAGTAAATAGTGGCTACAAATGAGCTCTAGGGAGGAGAAATAAACTTTTCAAAAAAATTTGCTACTTCTACATCTAAGAGAAATGAGCGTAGTCTGATGGACTCTCGACAATGTTAGACAGAAAAAGATACATAAATAAAATATGCACCACCGCGCGTTGAACTCTTGTCCACAACACAAATCACTAACGCTTTAACCATTAGACTACAAGGGAATACAGATGCAGCATTATATACTAATTATGTACTGCACAGCAAGGCAGATTTACATTAGTGTAAAGGATGCTTCTCAATTTGGTAGTCGACACCGGAGGCCCGGCTCACGTTGTCAGACGAGAATATTGTTCGAATGCAAAATCCCGTTTCCACTCCCCGCTGAATCTATCGCCCAGATTCAATCTCTACCGCCTCTTTCAGTACAGGATCTTGGAGCAAGGACTGTATCAGGACGAAGAAGATATGAACCACGACGCGGAGCTTAATAATTGGTTAGGAGAGATGCGCGAAGCTATCTACCTTCCAATCACCTTCGAGGAAGCAAAGGAACGGTTGGAGGAGATTGCGATCGAGTTGGCGAGGAGAAGGATGTTTTTGGTATGATGGGGGAGCACTCGGAACATTTGGAGTACACTCGAACATTTGGTTCTCATGTTTTTGTGTTGCTATCGCCATGGTTATTTTTGTGGCGACATTTTGGACTCTCGTGCCTATTGTTTTTGACTCCTGCCGATTACTCAGACTGCACCCTATCTGGGATAGTTTGTCTCGTAATTTGTAGACTGCTTATTCATCTGCTGAGTCATGGTGGAGTAAGCTGAGTCAGCACAGGACATTCTTATTG